GACTTGAAGACCAGCCTTATTCTCCAGCATGTAAAGCCCATCCACCATACATCCTCCACCAATCATCTTCCTCGAGGCCAGATCCTAGATCACACAGTAAGAAGGGCAAAAGGTCACTGAGCAGTTTAAGGAATTAGTAATACTACTAACAGAGAACAAATTAATGGAAAATTTTGGGACATGTAAAACATTAGACAGGGTAAGGCCAAAGGGAAGAGAAATGGTTCCTTGACCAGCTATGGTAGAGTATGATCCATCATCTAGTCTCACCTTGTCTCTTCCAGAAAGGAGGTGATAGGTTTGGAAAGTAAGAGGACTTACTAGTCATGTGTATAGACGCTCCAAAATCAATGATCCAAGGGGTGTCAGGGGTATGAGATGCTACATGGAAAGCTGTGGTAGAGTTACTTGATGTAGACGCAAATGAAGTTGAGGGAGGAATATCCATCTGACGAATTGCTCTACCATAGAGCTCTAAATGGTCACAGAAGGAATTAATAATATCCTCTTTTGGGTCGGATCCAGAGGCATGTGTCCGAGTCACAATAGTAACGGGGGGCGGATTCTCCTGAGTAGCCATATTTGCCATAGTATGCTTTCTTGTACCTTGCTGTCTTGACTTTTTATTCAGGTCTGAACCTTGCTTCTTACTCAGATCTTGAACCCATTTCGGCTCCCCATGAAGATCCCAGCATGTGTCTCGGGGTTTCTAGCAATGAGTACACCACAATTTGTCATTGTCATCCACCTTTTTTTGAAAATCCCCCTTCTTAAAGGTATTTCCCCCACCGGTAGTAACACTCTCGCCCCCAACACGACTACATCCTCTCCAAAATTGTTCATCAAATTTCTTCTGATTGTACAAGAGCATAAACTTCTTGGACGGATGGAAGATCCTTGCTACCTAGGATCTAGACTCTGATAGATTCATATGCAGGGTTCAAGCCATGTAGGAAAGCAAACACTCTCTGCTGGTAAACAAGTTTTTTGTACAATTTTGCATCTTCATCACACTTCCAGTCCACACTCTGATAATGGTCTAACTCCTTCCAGACAGAGGTCAAGTCTGAATAGTACACAGACAAACACTTCTCCCCTTGTTTACAAGTGGACGATTCTGCTTGTAACTGGTAGATTTTGCATAGTGACGCAGCTCAGAATAGGTTGATTTTGCTTGTTCCTAGATCTGATTTACCGTTTCAGCCCACATAAAATTCTTTCTTATTTGAGGTTGCATAGACACTAAAAGCCAGGACATGACCATGCTGTTTTCTTGGTTCCATCTGTCATATTTAGCACTCCCAGAATTGGGTTCTTTGATTTCCCATTTATATAACCTATCTTTCCCCTTGCAGTGATGTACAGCTTGATCTCTCTTGTCCATTCTAAATAATTTAAGCCATCGAGAGGAATAACAGCCATGGGAAAGGATAGGCCCACACCCCCACTCATTCCATTTTGCATTGAGGAAACACTGGATGTAGCAGAATCATGATTACAGATTAAAAAACACTCTTAAAGTGGGTACAATACCTAAAAAAAATGTCTAACACCGAGGGAGAAAGGAAACCCCTTTTTTCTTCAGAAACACAACTCTTTTCTGTAAAACAGAGGTGCTGTTACAGCACTAACAGGTCATCCCTTGACCTACAGAATCAAAACAGGTGCTGTCACAGTGCATACAGGTCATCTCTTGACCTACGCATCAACGGAAAAGCTGTTACAGCAAGTACAGGTCACTCTCTGACCTTAAGTCCCCCATAAAAGCTGCTATTGCAGCACACAAAAGGTCTTCATGACCTACAGTTTATACAGGGGTCAGTCGACTCCACAAAAAAAGGAAAGAAAGAGGTGCTGATCACCTCACATCCAACCAGCAGACCTAGTACAGGTTCTGCCCTGACACACGACCAGAAAAAAAGGAGGAGAGAAATTACTTTAGTGCATGAGAAAACCTTGATCTTCAATCAGCTGAACAATAGATGAGGGTGGCAGATCTGGAAATCTGGTGCAAAGAAAACTGTTCACTCAACCTCTCCTTTCAGATCTGATAGTCCCGCTCTGATATCATGTTATGCAGGAGAGAAGAGAGGACGAGAGAAGAGAGAGAAGAGAGAACTGAGAGCCAAAAAGTACTGCTGGCGGCGCCAGCTTTTGGTATATATACTAGGGTGGCAGAATATAAAAAATAAAAGGAGAAAATTACAATAGTACCCCTGCGGTACTATACTAAGAGAAATAACAGCCTTTTAACAGTGCACCCAGAATTTGCTCAGATTAAAAAGGAAGATTTAAGGGGAAAGATTTTGGGAGGTGCTAGAATTACAAAACAATGACATTGATAGCTTTTTCTGTTGATGTATTGTTTTCTGAAAAGTTTTATAGTGTAGTGTATGAGTGGGTGTTGCCTTGACATCCTATCTGGATGCACTTTCTTTTGTTTTGTTTTAATGAAAAATTTCTATTTACTTATCAAAAAAAAAAAAAAAAAAACAAATTAGTATGCAACTTGGCTGCAAACTGGTATATTTGATCTAATTTCTTGTTCAATCTTTTATTTGACGGGTTATCCAGAATTATTAGGGATGAAGAAAGAAAACATGTTATTGTTCTAATTTTGTGTGAAAATACCTAATTTAGCTACAGAAAAACTAAAACTACTAAAGCAAACTTAATCTATTTCCACTATCAATACCATGTTTATTTTTTTCCTTTTTGATAATTGAAAGAATTTTATTAGTCACAAGGATAAGAAAGTACAAGCTCCCCAAGGAGAGGCATGAGATGCGACCTCTCCATACTAGTTAAGAACAGCTTTCCAAATCACTAAAACAAGTTACAAGGTAGCACAAAAAAGATCTTCCTTGGAAACCCCAAGTTTGGCCAAAGAATCATCCATAGTATTTGCTGACCTGCTCACCCATTTAACATCCACTCTCATATTACTAGTTAGCCACTTTACTTTTTTGAGGAGGTCTCTGTACCCCCAAATGACAACATCTGGATTCTGGGTTTGAAAGCCAGCTTATTACCACCTCAGAATCCCCTTCAATTAGCAAATGTTCCACCCCAAGCTGGTTGGCAATTTGGATTCCTTGTACAGCCACTGGTACTTCTGCCTTTGTAGAATCTCCTACTCCCACTGATCTTGAGAATAAGGAGATAATGTTGTTATCTTTATTCCCCAGCACACCCCCTACGCCTGAAGGCCCGGAGTTACCTTGGCTGCTCCCATCAAAGTTTAATTTGATGACACCTTTCGGAGGAGGTTCCCATTCTATCACACTTCTATTCTTCTTAGTAGAGGTATTAGCAATTGCTGACCAATTCCTCTAAAGGTCATCAAAAGAAAAATCAGCAAAGATATCCAAGGTCTTCAACCAATGGATTGCTCTTGTAAAAACACAGTCCTTCACTTCAGCCAAGCTTTTTTCCTTCTCTAGGAATATTGTAGCATTCCTTTCCTCCCAAATAGTCCATAAGGTAGCTGCCCTAAGACATTTCCACATGATTTTACCTCTTCTCATATGCCACCTGAAAATAGATGGATTAAATAGCAAACTTACATCAGATGGCTGGATCCACCTACAACCAAAAAGACTAAAGCTCCAACTCCATAAGGCTGCAGCAAGGGAACATGATATCAGTAAACGGAAACAGTCCTCACTTTGGGCCTTACATAGGGAACACCAGTTCGGGGAAAGACAAGGAAGAGGTCTCTTTTTTTTTTGCAAGTTTTCCAAAGTGTTGATTTTCTCATAGTAAACTTCCCAGCAGAACACAACAATTTTTTTTGGGGAATAGGTTTTACCCAAACTTCTTTGACAGGAAAAACTTTGGGGTTGGGGCTGAAATTGAGGGATTTTAGAAATGAAGCACAAGTAAAGGTACCTTTAGGTAGGGGAGTCCAGACTCTTGATCAGGTTATGTGGGGTCCAAACAAACTGGCTCAAGTAAATGATGCAACCCAGTAACACAAGTAAGCTCACTATCCCTTAAACCCTTTTGAAAACCAAAGTCACAGTTTGAAGACAAGGGAAGCAATGTATCCGGAAGACATTTTGAAATTGGCTCATTTTTGTAAAGGGAAAGGGAGTATAAGGAAGGGAATCGGTCCTTGAGGGGTTGTTTACCCACCCAAATATACTCCCAGAACGAATAGAATCACCAGAGCAAGTATCATACCTGGAAAACCTGAGGAAGCGAGGGAGAATACCATGTATGGCCTTCCAAAGTGTTATGTGGGTAGCCCGACAAGATATCCCAACATCCCAACCATTTCTTGAGTATCCATGAATACTTGACACCACCTCATGCCAAAGTCTCTCTCTCTCTCTTCCGAGGCCATCTCCATAACCACTTCGCTAGGAGGGCTTCATTATATCAATACCATGTTCAATGCATGTGTTTCCCCATTAGTATGGATAATGTAAATATGTTGAGCTCCTCTGCATTATCTCAAATGTGGTGATGGCTGTTCCTAAAATCTTAGCAATTGGCACAGTAAACGATGTTTGAAAGTCTCCTCTTAGTGACATTGCCCTGTAGAAACAAGAAGACTGGCATTTTTTTTTGTCTTTCCAAAATAACTACTGTATAAGCTTTGTTGGATTCCTTGCAAGTCAGTGGTCTAGAAGAAAATTTCAAGCATTGAAGCTGCACCCAATGCCCTCCTAACAGTGGACTCCAATGATCTAATATTTTGCTTGTTAGTTAAAGGATAAAATTTGCTGAACCTTCTTCTGTGGTGGTGTTTGACCCATGGCTAAATTTAATCCTCCATACTGATGCTGTTTTAATGTTGTGAAACCTTCTTCTAAAGCTTTTGCAGCTAACCTCTCATTGCCATGCAAAACTTGTCTATATCTGTCTTTCCTTAACATCAAGTTAACAAATGAATGTGGATTTCTTGGGCAGTTGCCTAGTTAGCTGAACAGTGTTTGTATTTATCAAGAATCACTTGTAATGTTGACATAATTTTATTTTGTTCTTTTACATAGGAAATTCTTCATTACACAAATTCGAGGATGCCTCTATCTCTACAGGAAAAATCAACATTTTCTATTTTGGGATACTGTGCTATGGATTGTAGCTTTAGTGAGCAACTTCAAGGTATTGAAATAGAAGACGTTGGCACAAAATCCAACAATTGCGAAAAGTTGTACCCAGAGAAAAGTCAAGATTTATTTGGAGAAAATCATGGACGAAGTTCTTGTGAATGCCACAAGTATAGATTCTTTGAACAAAGCAACATGGTTTCTATTGGAATCAATAATTGGATCCAGCTCTCCTATGATTCTCATGAATATCATTGTAGAAAGATCCATGGGATTCCTAAGTTGCATCACATACACTGGAGTAAAAGAATAGTGTATAACTGTGATCTTCACGTATGTAAGTTAGGGTTATCCTCTTGTTTCTTGTTCCAATCTTAATCCAGTTATTTTCTTTAAGCTCTTTTCTTTTGATTGAATAATTCAGGTAATAATTTATGACCCACCAAATTTTGGCATACACCATTTCTTGATGAGTTCTTGTGTTTCTTCTGAGCAAGTTGAGATGCAGTCCAAGAGGCCCAAGTGTATTGATGAACTTTGTCAGAAACAAGCACTCCCTGACCTGGTAATGTACTGTTTGATGGACCTTGAATTGTTGGTGTTTTAATCTCTTCTCAACTATCTACTTATTTCTATACTTTTAAATCTGGAGTATAGGATATAGTTGTCTTGGCAATCAACTGTGCAACTGCTGCTAATAACTCATTTGAGAGATGTATGGGCTGCAAAACTCCATTGAATTGGTACCCATTGTCTCTATTGTTTCTTTTTTTGATGAATACATTTCCTCTATTGTTTCTTTATTCTTTCTCATTTGTTTTGCAGTATTTGATTTCATATCCTTCTTTATTCAGGTTGTTTGCAATGACATGCAGCTCAATAGCCATGTTTGTAGCTTCATTCTTCACTCTTTTCTACACCATTCTTCAGATCTTTCATGCTTTTCTCAGTTATGGATCGCATTCATTGATCTACAAGATATTAGCAAAGGTATTTAGTCATACATGGAAGAATGTCCATATTCGCAGCTGTCAGTTACTATATTGGCCAATATTCCTTCAAGAAGGTGGTTTCAGGTAATGTAACAAATTGTATGACACTTGGGAATATCTAGGTTAGGGTGTCAACTTCGAAAATTCCATTTGGTTCTGCATGGGATCGAAACATGGTTGACTTGAAGAAGTCATCTCACCATGGTCTAGTTCCTACCTCCTGTATATGAGATTTGCAGGCCAAAGACATGGTAGGTGTAGCCTTTCATGGAGAGAGAGAGAGAGACGAGAGAGAAGAGAAGAGAGAAGAGAAGAGAAAGGAGAGAGAGATACGATTGAGAGTCTCAAAACTGTAGCTGGTGACACCCAGCTTATTATTTATATTAACTTAATACAAAAGAATGAGAGATTACAATTATGCCCATGGCGGCACTCCCTAGTAACAAGCTAATAACGAAGAAAGAAATAAACTGGCTGACAACATACTAACGACAATTGTAAAATAACAAATAAATAATCCTCACAATACTCCCCCTCAAGTTAGGCTGAATATGTCTATCATGCCCAGGTTGTCACATATAACTCATTGTGCTGTGAGTATGGAAGTCCTTTTGTGAGGACATCGGCAAGTTTTTCCTTGTAGTTGACAAAAGGGATGCAAATTTCCCTTTTTTCCAATTTTTCCCTTATGAAGTGTTTGTCCACTTCAATGTGCTTGGTCCTTTCATGTACGACAGGATTGATGGCGATGTTTATGGCTGCCTTGTTGTCACAGTAAAGAGACATAGGATTATGAACAACAACTCCTATCTCCCCTAGAAGGTTTTTTAGCCAAAGAACTTCAGCCACCTCATGTGCTATAGCTCTATATTCCGCTTTAGCACTTGACCTTGCTACCACACTTTGTTTCTTGCTTTTCTAGGTCACTAGGTTTCCTCCCACAAATGTGCAATACCCACTTGTGGACTTTCTGTCATCCACAATACCTGCCCAATCAACATCTGTAAAGACTTCCACCTTTAGATGATTATGCTTACTGAATAGTAGACTTGTTCCTGGATACTTTTTTAAGTATCTAAGAACTCTCTCTACTGCCTCCATGTGTGGTTTCTTAGGAGAGTGCATGAATTGGCTTAGGACCCTAACTGAATAGGCAATGTCTGGACAGGTCATGGACAAATAAACCAACTTTCCCACTAACATTTGGAATTGTTTCACATCTTTCAGAGGTTCACCATCATAGTCACCCAATTTATGATCAACATCCATGGGAGTATCTACTAGCCTTGCGCCTAACTTACCTGTGTCTTGCAACAGATCAAGGGTGTACTTCCTTTGAGAAATGAAGATGCCCATTTTTTAATGGGCGACTCCAATTCCAAGAAAATACTTTAGGGGACCTAGATCTTTCACTTCAAATTTAGATGCAAGAAATTGTTTCAACTTTTGTATTTCTGAACTCCAATTTCCTGTAATGATGATATCATCCACATRCACTATCAATACAGTAACTTGTTCCTGACATCTCTTCACAAAGAGTGTGTGATTAGACTGACATTGCTTGAACCCTACTTACTGAATTGCCATGTGAAACTTACTGAACCAAGCCCTAGGAGATTGTTTTAAATCATAAAAAGACTTTCTCAGTTTGCACACCTTATTTTCACTTCCCTTGGCACAGAATCCAGGGGTTGAACCATGTACACCTCCTCCTCTAGGTCACCATTTAAAAAGCCATTATTTATGTCCAATTGATGCAATTCCCAGTCAAGGTTAGCAACTAATGACAGGACTCTAATTGAGTTCATCTTAGCTACTGGAGCAAAAGTAGTCTCATCATAGTCAACCCCGTACACTTGAGTGTACCCCTTGGCTACTAATCTTGCTTTGTATCTTTCAACTGTCCCCTCCGCTTGTGTCTAATTGTAAGCAACCACTTACACCCCACTGGGTCTTTCCCCCTTGGAAGATCCACCAATTCCCTAGTTTGATCTTTATGGAGGGCATTAATCTCCTCCTTTATAGCATCTGTCCATTCAGGGCATTTTAAGGCTTCTGCAACATTTCTGGGWACAGGGATGCAATCAACTACAGATAGGAAGGCTCAGTATGAGGGGGAAATGTGATCATAGGAGACATACTGGGTAATGGGGTGTTTGGTAGTGCATGACCTGACTCCCTTTTGATCAATAGGAATGTCAAGGTCATCCACAGTAGGAGCAGGGGTATCAATAGGTGCAATAGGGTTTGGACTTACCTCTTGGGAGTTTGACGGTGTTGGTTGCTCAATGTTTGGCTACTCCACATCTTTGTCACATTGTTGATCTCTACAGTGCGTACGTTGGAAGACACGAAAGGGGGCCAGGTTCGGAATAGAAGGAAGAGAGACTTGGCGGACTTGAACCTGCTTCTCCTCTTCCACACTACTCCCCCATGAGGAGAAGTAGGGAAGAACGGTTTAGACTCAAAGGACACATCCATAGACACAAAAAACTTATGACTAACGAGATCAAAGCACCAATACCTTTTTTGAAAGGAGAGATACCCCAAAAAGATACAAGGAATGGACCGAGGGTCGAACTTACCTTGAGACGGAGACAAATCATGGACAAAGGCACAACACCAAATACTCTCATGGGAATGGAAAATAAAGGGGACAGAGGGAACAACAACTGATGGGGGGCCATGTAGTTGAGCACTCTGGAGGGCATGCGATTGATGACATAAGCAGCTGCAAGTATAACATCCATCCAAAACCTTTTTGGGATATTCATGTGTAACATCATCCCTCAAGCTACCTCAAGGAGGTTTCTGTTTTTTCTTTCTGCAACACCATTTTGTTGTGGTGTTCTTGCGCATGAGCTCCTATGAATAGATCCATGGGAGGCAAAGAACTCATTGAGCTCACCATGGAAATATTCCTTTGCATTATCTGATTGAAAGGTCTGTATTTCAACATGGAACTGCGTAAACACCATCCTCTGGAAGTCTTTCACAATCTTTGGAACTTCATCTCTACTACGCATGGGGAATACCCATTTATAGCGGGAAAAATCATTGATCAATGTGATAAAGTACTTATACATGCCCTCAGATATTATAGTAGTAGGCCCCTATACATCAGAATACACAATATGAAAAGGAAAACATGATCTTTTATTATTTGAATGAAAAGTTGTTCTACATTGTTTGCTCAACTGACATGTTTGGCACCGGAAATCTGACACTGAACATGACTTAAATAAAACCGGAAACAAAGACTTTACTATTTCAAATGAAATATGACCTAACCGACTATGCCACAGAAAAATTTGACTCTTATTTGGTTGACTATATGACTCTGAGGATGACACCGAGAGATCAGCTTTGTTGTTGAGAATGTAGAGACCATCCACTAGATTCTCTCTACCAATCGTCATCCCAGAAGTTAGATCCTAAAAAACACATGAACCAGGGAAAAATGTTACACTACAATTTAAAGAGTTTGTGATACTACTGATTGAAAGCAAATTTATAGGAAGTTGAGGGACATGCAATACACAATTCAGGTTAAGGCCATGGGGAAGAGATATTGATCCTCGGCCTGCAATGGAGGAGAATGATCCATTTGCAAGCCTCACTTTATCCCTTCCTGACAAAAGGCTATAAGTTTGAAACAAGTTTGGCTTACCGGTCATGTGGTTAGAGGCCCCTGAGTCAATGATCAAGGGGAGTCAGTGGTAGTGGTGACATGGAATGCAGAGGCCGCATTACCTGATGTAGACACAAATGAAGTAGAAGGAGTACCAGTAACTAAACTATCCATCTGTCGCAAAGTCCTACAATATGACTCCAAGTGATGTCTGAAGGAATTCATGATATCTTCCTTGGGGTCAGAACTAGTAAAGTGGTCCCATGTAGTACCAGCAAACTGAGCATCTTGGGTTACCACATGTGCTGCATTATGTGCTGTATTTGGCTTCTTCTGACCTTGTACTTTACCTTGTTCTTGGTTCTTCACTGCCCACTTCGGCTTCCCGTGAATCTCCCAACATGTGTCATGTGTATGTCTCGAGCGTCGACAGTGGGTACAAAACAACTTGTCTTTATCATCAGCCTTCTTGGAGTCAGTTTTCTTTCCCATATTGTTACTACCCATTGCAGCCAATGCTACCTGTTGCATACACCTCTTGAACCGAGGGAAACTCTTTACTTCGTAAGATCTGAACTCTCAAGGGTTCATAAGCAGAGTTTAGTCCCAACAAGAGTGCAAAAACTCGCTGCTAAGAAACCAGCTTCTTATAGGCCTAGCATCATCATCATGTTTCCATTCTATAGCCTGATAGTGATCCAATTCTTTCCATACTGAAGTAAGGGCTGAATAATAGGCAGACAAACTACAATTCCCCTGTTTACAAGAGGGTAAAGCTTGCAACTGGTAAATCTTGGCATAATGCCTTTGCTCAGAATAGGTGGTTTTGGCATGTTCCCAAATCTCACTAGAAGTGTCTGCCCACATAAAGTTCTTCTTCACATCAGGTTCCATGGCTGCAAGGCGCCAAGACATCACCATACTGTTTTCTTGGTCCCACCTATCATGTTCAGCTGTCTCACTCTTGGGTTCTTTCACTCTTCCATTTATGTAACTAGCTTTTCCCCTTGCTGTTACATAAAGTTTTACACTTTTAGTCCACTCTAGGTAGTTTAGGCCATTTAAAGGGGTAATTGGCATGGAAAACATCATGTTTTCACCTCTCATACCAGTTGTGCTACGGGTTGGTGTAACCCCAGATGAAGCTGAATCATAGTTTGCCATTGAGGGAGAGAATCTACACTACAAGAACCAGAATTACAAGTGTACCAGACCAGATCCCACACAACTACAACACAGCCACAATCAGAATGCTAAACCCCCAAGAATTTTACTTCTGGAATGAGAAAAAAAAAACTGCTGAAATCATCCCAGTACTAGTTTGGCCATTAGAACAGCCCAGTAATCAGTCCAGCAACCAGTCATTAAAACAGTCTACTAGCAGTTCGACTACAACACATGCTTACTAATAGTCCAACGTCTGTACGAAGGTGTAAACCCAAAAAGCAAGGCTTCACACCATTGGCCACAGAAAAAAAAAGGACCACAGAAATCAATTTTCACAGCATCGAACAAAGAGAAGAGAGGCTTTTCAGCATTGTTCCTCTTCTACTAGGGTTTCCTTGGTGTTACGACCAAGGAAGAACCCAAAGAAAGTAGCCGAAAGTGACCTGACCAGTCCGATTAGGTTTCTCTGTCTTCCATGTCCAAGAGATCAAGAGAGAAAAAAAGAAACTGAGAATAGGGCTTGGTTCAGATGAGAGAAACGGTTCTTTATAGCCCAGAATTATGCTCTGATACCATGTAATCTTTCATGGAGAGAGAGAGAGAGACGAGAGAGGAGAGAAGAGAAGAGAGAGGAGAAGAGAAGGGAGAGAGAGATACGATTGAGAGTCTCAAAACTGTAGCTGGTGGTGCCCAGCTTGTTATTTATATTAACTTAATATAAAGGAATGAGAGATTACAAGTATGCCCCTGGCGGCACTCCCTAGTAACAAGCTAATAAGAAAGAAAGAAATAAACTGGCTGACAGCATACTAACAACAACTGTAAAATAACAAATAAATAATCCTCACAACAGTAGGATCACTGAAATTTTGTTGGGCTCACATTCATTTATGTGGCTAGAAAATTTGTTGGAGCTTAGAACTATATGATTATGATAATCTCATTAGGATGATTGTTGGCCTAAGATCTAGTTCTGATCCATCAGATGGTGGACAATGACAAATCCATCTTTCTATGGGGCAGATGTAAGAAGGTCATGATCTGGGTATTTATGTCTTGTAGTTTTTGAAAGTTGACATCTTTATATATTGCCTCAAGCCTTTAAATGTCATCTTTTTGTAGGTCTCAATCAAATGTGCAATATGCAGAGAGATATTCCTTACGTAAGCATTCAATGTGGTCAAGCATAGCTATTGATCTTCTTTTGGGGAATATGGTTGGTGTGGCATTGTTAATACATGCAGAAGCTGTATCTTTATGGGTTTCCAACCTTGTACACAACATAACAAATACTGTGCTGCGTTTGGGTTGTGTATGGCTGATGGGGGTCCCAGCAGGTTTCAAACTGAATATGGAGCTAGCAAGAGGTCTTGGCTTGATCTCACTTAATGTGATTCATATGTGGTCTACCCTCTGGTTCTTTGTTGGTTTCTTCTTCAGTTATTTTCTTAAAGTACTTTCTATTTCTGGGATCATTTTGGGCACAACTGTATCGGCTTCTCTGATCAAAGACATGATTGTGATGGCAACTTCACATGTCTCAACTCTTCATTGGTTGATTTCACTTCTATATTCGCAACAGATCCAAGCTTTGGCAGCCTTATGGCGTCTTTTTAGGTAAAAATTGTTTTTCTTTTGGATTTAATGATCAAAATATTTTCCTACAATTCCTCATTGCAATTGCATTCCATTGACATCTTTATTATCTGATAATCTCTTACTGCAAAATATGAAAATTTGTGTGTGTTGATCCCAACTTTAGTGGTACCTTGCTTCTTAACCATGTTATGGTACCGTTCATATTGTTGGGCGTTTTTTTTTTTTTTTTTTGGTAGGAAGAAAGATAGAACTAGGGGCTACACAAGATGGTGAGTGCCCTTCCCCAAATCACTAAAACAAATATAACTAAATATCCGATCCTTTAAACCATAATTGGTCACCAGTCTGGTATGTCCAAGATTAGCCAACCAGTTGCTAGTGCAATTTGCCTCCCTAAAAACATGCACGTAAGAGGCTGCTAGAGCTCTGATGTGGCACACTTCATAGAACTCATCCGAAATCAGCTTGAGGGATTCATATTGTTGGTATGATCCATCCAATCTCTACATAAAAAATAAAACAATATAAGAATAATGTGCATGAAGCTGAGAATTCTATTAATAATCCATTCTAGTAAGATTAATAACATTTCTTTTTTATAAGAGGTGCCCCACTGCTTCCAGCTCTAGAATGTTGGCATGAGATGGCTTTTCCTTTCTAATAGAAGAAAACCAGCCTTTTGAGAAGAAAGGCCTGTTTAGAAAGATGCAAAAAATCAAAAGAAAGTAGCAGAAATCTGAGTTCAAGAGGAGAGAAGATGAAGAAGAAGGTGGCGGCAACTTGGGTTCATAGAGAGAGATTTTCGAACATAATCTCTTCTCTTACACCCTTAATTCTATTTTTTTAAGTTAAAACTTTGGTAATTTACAGAGAAGCCCTTAGTTGGGCAGAAAATTAAAAAGACATAACATAAGAAAGAATAAGCCCAGATTAAGGCCCATTACAACAAAGAATAAACAGCCTATGGGCCATTCGGCCCATCTTCTCTACACGCCCCTTCAAGCTGAGCATAGATGTCAATCATGCCAAGCTTGCCAGTATCATGCTGAAGTTTMGCCTYGGGAATGCCYTTGGTGAGRAAATCTGCTAACTGTCCTTCAGAGGTGATGAAAGGTAGGCACACTTCTCCAGAAGCCACTCTTTCTCGAATGAAGTGTCTGTCAACTTCAATATGCTTAGTTCTGTCATGTTGCATTGGGTTGTGAGCAATGTTGATGGCGGCCTGATTATCACAATATAACATCATTGGCTTATCATGCTCAATACCCAGTTCCTTCATCAAGGATTTAAGCCACAATAGTTCAGAAACTCCATGAGCCATAGGTTCAGAAACTCCATCAAGGATTTTCCACCATCTTCCTTACCATCTAAATAGTCATTGGAATGGATGACAAATAGGTTCAAAGCTCTATATCTCCCTTAGAGATCACAAACAACTCGAGGGCAGCCAATGCTTGTTTTACTGCAGATCCTTCTAGCTCCACCACTGTCTTCACTCTCCACTTCTGCAACCACTCCAGACTTTGTTGCCATGTGTTGGTTGCATTTTGCAAAGGCAATAATGTGGGTCTATTGTAGGCACACACCTTATGGATCTTTTAGAAATCCCATCACCTGCTCATTGCCAATGAGGGGCACACATGTATTGGCTTCCATCATCTGACAAATTTGGCAGAAGAGTGTTCAAGCAGGTGACGAGCTGAAAGTTGAGCACTGTTAGCGATAGTGCTACCACTGGTGGAGGTAGTGTGGCTTCTGGCGAGGATTTTGGTACTCAGGCAGATGTGGGTTCCTAATGTGGGTCCAACTAGGGTGGTGGGAAATGTTGTATGATTGGATATTGCAAGAAGGAAATTGCCAATGTGTGAAGCTTTGGAAGGTAGGAGATGACTATCCAGATTCTAAATGTGGTCAGGAGGATGGTTGAGTTAAAGTGGATGGGTTAGGCTAGGTTACAACCCATATACATTTTGGACAAAATGGTCATTGATGAATGTGGGTGGGTTGGCCTTCAACTCACATCCAACCAACACAATTACCACCCAAGCTAAGCATTCACCAATATTGTAAGGCTAATACTTGTTTTGAAGTTAAGGACGGCCATATCATGTGACGTAGAGCCCCCTTTTGGAGGCTCTTGCTCCCAAGAGTCATAGAGAAATGTAAGAGAGAGCATGAAACTTTCATGAAGAATTTAGAGGACACCATGATAAATCCCTCCAAAGATTGGCGTACCTGTGGAGTACCTTCATTGATGGTTCTCATATTCTTGATGGAGTTCTACTTGTAGGGGTGTGCTTGAATTCATGGTTCACAATTTCAATATCAATGGACATTTCACCATACAGCAATGAGGGAAATTTGGGTATATTTTGCTAATTTTGTTCAGATATTTAGAAAAATTAGAAATCTGAGGAATTATATAAAAACATGGAATTACTTAATAAACTTTAAATCGTTGGAAGAAGTATAATTGCATATGTAGTGCTTCAAAAACTATAGCAAGCAACTGCATAAATCAAATAAGAGAAGATTAAGAGACATGAATAGGTATCATTCTCGTTGTCTCCCTTGTAATCTTTTAGACATCTTCTTTTCATTATGTAAGTCGTTTACTTGCCATTTTTGATTTTTAGTCTTTTTGGTTACTATATGTTTTGATTAAGATGGGAATTCTCTTTTGTAGTTGTGATCCATTTTTCTTTTTCTTTTCAATTATAGTGACATGAATTGAATCATATCAAAATAGTTAGCCAATCATTCAATTGCCAAGTCCTTAATGGGTCTTTAGGTGACTCATGTATGATCTCAAGAGGTCTTTGACGAGGACCCTTTCTCTTTATCTTGGTAATGGAGGCTATAGGCAAGATGATGCTTAGGGATGAAGACCTTAGCTTGATTTCTGGTTTCAAGGTTAAAGAGCAATCTTCAATTCTGTGTGTGAAACAAACCTGGTAGTGGAGAGCTTTTGCTCTTCTATTTGATCCTCAGAGACAATATGGCATGAAGCAATTCAAAAGAGTCACAGAGACGGATGTTAGCAATAGGATTGAAACCTTTCGATCTAGTTTCTTCCTTAGGAATTGAAGGAGAGTTGATAATCGCCAAACATAGTAGAGGAGCCTGGACGAGGATCTCCCTAAAGGAGAACGAAGTAAACTGGACTGTATTTCATTTACAGAAGGTATTAGAGGAGTGGAAGCTTCCTTTAAACCCAAAAAGTTTGCTAACAGAGGAAGTGTAACCATATTTCAAGTAAAAGAAAACAGATGGAGAAGATTTATCAGATTAAGCCACTGGGAAGGAGCAAGTAAAACAAGAAGCATCTGCGTTCCAGAAGAAGCAAGCAAAAATGGTTGGTTAGTATTTTTACAGAGTTTGGGGTCATTTATTGACAGCAAAATGAATCCAAACCATGGATTCCCACCACAGGGAAACTTTCCAGCATTAGAGAGAAACAACAGTAGAGTGGTAGCAATAGGAGGTTCAGCCTTTATCTCCGTTGTACATCAAAAGGGGCCATTCGGAGTCTGTATAGAGGTGGAGTTGGGTTTGTCCGCAAACCTCCACTCCATTGACTTGTTGAACCTAAATCCAATAGACGATTACAGAGCTGTGGGTTTTGCTCCATTGGAAGAGATAGTTGTCGCTTGGACCAGTTTAGGAGCTCTCTCCATCTATGGCAAATGGGTCTTGATTGACCACTGGTGGCCAACATTAAATGCAGTACCAGCGAAACTAAGATTTGATGGCTGGTTACTGATTCATGGTCTTCTCCTTCATCTCTGGAAGGAAGAGGTTTTCTCTCTGATTGGAAGCCTCTGTGGAGGTCTTGAGAAAGTAGATCCTAAAACAAAGGAGTTGTTGGATTTGCGAAGTGCCAGGATAAAGGTAAAAGGAAGAGGGGTGTATGCAGTTCCGCGTTCAGTGCCAGTTCTTGATAGAGGGGTGTGGTTCTACTGTGCCATCGAAGTGGAGAAGAAGAATGAGTCACAACATGAGGGAACCGAGTCGACTCGACAACAAGGTATGAACACGCGTGACGCGATTGAGGATAATACGACATCTGCCAATAAAAAGCTTGCAAGTGTGAGACATTTTTCGAAAAATCCAGAAGGTAATTTATCTGCAGAAGGAAACTTCCTTTCTAAGAAAGACTAGAATGGCAAAAACAACGAGAGATTAAAGGAAAGTAGACGGGAGAAAGGAAAAATAATTCAAAATTTAAATACAAAATCAACAACTGCAGTAAAATCGGCTGAAACAAGGCCCACTAAAGCTCCTAGGCTGTGGATTAACCCAAATACCCGGTCACCAGAGGTTTTATTGTCCAGGCCCCAAAATCTGGGCCGAGTAAAGACGAAATCAGCTTAGATGTCCCCAGGCCAGCAAAGTCAGACCATGTTAGCCTCAGTCCACCAGCCACTCCGATGTTTGAAAATGGAGAGATTCCAATCACCCCCCCCCCCCAATCTGTAGATAGTTGCGCAATAGACATTAATCATCCTCCAACACCAAACTATAGCTCGTTGGTGGAATCGGTGGAAGATCAGGAGGAAGACTTAGTCAGACCTAAGCTCATATGAATTAGAGGAAGAGATAGTTGGTCACACAGTGGCTCTGGAAAGAGCTAAATTCCTGTTCAAAAGAGAACATTGGAGAAGTGTAGACATTCTGCAGCCCATGCAGTTAATGGACCCTGATTATGGTCTCTCCGACCCTGAATGCCCTGAAAAAGGAAGGAGTTCTAATCTCCAAACAACTCCAATTTCTTGTATTACAGGAAAATCTCTGAATCTTCTTCCTTCAAGATCTCTCTGTTCTCTTTCTTCGTCACCCAATCCAACCCCCTTTTTCCTGTCATAAAGGGAACCTCTAGACACCGAAATTGTTTAGAAGAACAAGCAGTGAAGTTTCCAGGCCAGAGAACAGTGGGACGAAGATAATGGATACAGAGGGATGTATGGAGGTGGCTCAAAAGCTTGGGATTACCTTTCCCGAAAGCAATGAAGAGTCCA